TGTTCAATGTTAACACACAACCCATATAACGCATGAAAACAGATAGCAATAGGTCATCTGAGTTTACTCAGGTCACCTATTGCTCTCTGTTTTCAACTGATATATATTATTGGGCTGCATATTGTAGTCTTCTTTTTTGCCAAACTACATTGAAATCGAACCAAAGCAGTTGCAGGAGTAGCATTTTGGAATTTCACGGATAATACTATTTTTTGTAACCTTGGCAACAATGCTCATCGAAATTAAAACTGATGCAATAAATTATGTACTCATTTCAAGTCATATTGAAATGGGACAAAAACTGTAGCAGGAATAACGCTTGAAATTATATAGAAATTTGTAATTTTAGCAAACATGGCAACACCCTTCATCGAAAATTGAAACATTAAATCTCTCATTTTCAAAGAATTTTACAGACTGAAATTTTTTTTAGTAACGATGGCAACACCATTCATCAAAATTGAAAACTGATGCAATAAGTTATATACTGTATGTGTAGTTTAAAAAGCGGGATTCATATTTTGGCGGCTTTGGCGCAGACAACAATGCACTAATTCATGAATATCACTAAAAAATCATTTACATATACAATACACTGAACGGATATAGGTAGCGCAATTTCATAAATATGCCAACAACTCCATACAAGTGATTACGCTAATTTTTGAATACGCCAAATTATGTACAGGTACAGTATCTTAGTGTTTTCTTTACTTGTGTGTCAAGTTAAATTGAAATAGGACCAAAACTGTTGTAGTAGGGTTTTTGAATGATTGCTTATAGACAGGTGGACAGCTAGATGAACAGACGACGGACACCTTACCATCCCACCAGTAGAGCTAAAAATGGAAATTTTTGAAATAAAAACAAAAGTTTATTCTTCATAATTGAAAGATGTAAATCAAATGAAGATTACAATGTTTTATTTTTAATCTAACAAACATCTTTTCTGCAAATTTCTTAAGCGTTAGGCATACATCATCCAAACCTTTTGAACTGAAAGATATCACATATTACTACTGTTTCTTTGGCAAGTGAATAAGTATTAAATTAACCTCTTGACATTGTTTAGTGAAATAAAAACATCCACTTAATGCAAAGAAAGTTTACCTTGAGCAATTTTTGAGTGCATTTTCCTGGATATAAAATGCCTGAACAATCTTTTTAGGACTATTTTCATAGAAGCCTCCATTTAGAAATACAAACCGCAGTTGGGAACAAAACTTTGTTCAAAGCATGGAATATGTACTTAAAAGCTTAACAAGTACTATTTCATACAAAATTTCTGGAGTATTATACATTTGACAATAGTAAACAATTACCAAAAAACAGAAATATACAGAATTTTATATATTATATATAATCTTAGCTGTATGATCTTATTCAACAAACAAGTGACCAACAAAATCAATAACAAGCAAAAAATAGTTCATTTTACACAAATAAATAAACAGAAATGCACATAAAGCCAATGTGGGTTTTTTTTTTTGCATTGATATCATGATTAGAGAGTGGTTTCTATTAATTTTCTCAGTCTCTAAGCTGATTCTTTTGTTCATTTGATTTTCATACATTGTCAAGAGTTTTCATTCATGCCAACAGTCGTAGTGAAATGCTCACGTTACAAGCATGAATTGCAGAACATTGCTGTCTAGTACATCCTTTTATCTTTCCCTTAGCAATTATAACAGCGAAGAAAAACTGCTGCTTTAATCAAGGAAGAAGACAATTTCTAAATGAAACTTAAATCAAAGATACAAGTATAATCAAAGATTACACAGCTCACCTCCACAATCAGTATCTATAAGCAATTCAAATCTTGATCAATATCCACACAAGTTTGGTTTAAGTACAACTTATACAAGTAGTTACTTGAAAATGGACCAGCTTCTATTATTTTCACCTATTCACTTAGAGAATTTTAGATCAGATTCAGCATCAGAAACAAATTTGGTATTCTCTATCCCTTTATATTACATCCATGCAAGTTAGGTTCAGGTAGTGCTAAAAGTGACTTGGGAGTGGACTTGCTGCTAAAACTTGAACCAAGTCACTCACCAAAAATGTAGGTCACATCCAATTTCAAAGGAAGTCTGGAAAAATATCCTCAATGCAAGTTTGGTTTAGGTAGGGCTTATAGATACTCTGGGATGGACTTGCATGCTCCTAAACCTTTACCTGAAAAGCAGATGCTGGGGTATAGCACACATTCTTCTGAACTTTTAAAAAATTGTATGCATTACAATCAAAGTTTTCTGCAATGAAAAATTTCCCCTTTTGCATTAATCTTTACTAAGTGATTAAAAGGGAATTATTCAGTAAATAATCATTTTTAAAATGTCAAGGTCATGAGTTAAAAGCACCAGTATTTTAATGAACACATAACAATACCTGGGCCTTTTATTCACCAATTCTTTGTTGAATTTTTTCCCATTTCAATTCTTGACAAGTTAATTGACGTAAGATATTCTCATTAAAAAATTAAAAATAGATGAATCTTGAGCTCTAATTATTTTTCTTGAAACAATTAAGAACATCCTAATGAGAAAAAAAAAGCCAGAAGTTTTAACAATGCAGAAAAAAAAATTAAACAGCATAAATGCCAAATAAATTGAAACCAAATCGAATAAAACCTTTATCCTAGTTACATTACCATTATACCTTGCCAAACAGTAAAAACTTTTGTGAGAGTTTTAAAAGAGTTAAAGACGTACAACACACTGGGGGAGATAACTCTTGCGATTTCAATTGAACGTTTGACGTGACGTCAAATTTAACGTCAAAAATAAAGCGTCAAAACGACGAGTAAAACGATCCCGATGTATATGAATCATGAAAGAAAATTGAGATATGGGGCTTGGCTGTGATTCATTGTGCGTACCATACTCAATCAATAAGTATATTTTTAATTAACCCGATTAAACTCCGTAAAAAGCAAGACATAAAATACCATCCCTTAATGTTTATTTCATTTCATTTCATATACAATAAATTGTATTTTTGATCAAAGCGCAGTATTTTTTTTTTTATTCTGAAAATTTTATTTTATTTCTCATTATGTACAACTGGCTATATAACATTCCGATTAATGGTCTTCATTACAATTTGTGCATACACGATATAAATATTGTTTTTCTTCTTTGATTAAATAAAACAACAATAAATATTATAAACAAAAAACTTTTTACAATGTAAAATCGATGTTGTTCTGAGACCCTTACTGATCAACGAGGAACAACTCTGAAAATGTAGGAGATGTTTATTTTCCTCCCTTTATTCACGGTTTTCCACAGAATCAGATACATTTCTCCAAGACGTGATAAATCCGAGAATTGAATACTATAGACCTCATATACACAAAGTAAGTAGAGAATTGAAAAGAATTGTTCACTTGCACTGAAATTATCTGCATTTATGAATATCCTATTGCAGCAAATCGTAATTTTGACTTTCTGTCAACAATGTCGGTTCGCATTTCCTCGAATCAAAACAAAACGTAGCCTGTAAGATTTAAAAAAAATATCAATGTGGGATTTGATATAAATTGAAATAGATGAAGAGTTTAATGTTTGATATTTTGAAGTTAATGTGGACGAATACGGAATTTTCATTTTAACTTTAGAAGCGACGACAATCGACATTGAAAGAAATGCGTACAATATTATCATGAGGGGTGTGTGTACATCTAATGCAAATGTCGATGTATCCCCACAGCCACATACTGTCTCGTTTGAAATAATGACATGAAAGAAACTACAATTATTCCATTTATATCGCAGGAGAGTTGAACATACACCATTTTTTTAATGAATAAAATTAAAGAAATAAAATTAAAAATCAACATATTCAAGTTCAACAAAACTTGAATTCGTATCCAGGTTTCATGTGATATGGAATGCATAACGCATACGTACAGTATATGGACTAAACACTAAAATCTTTCAGTATTTTTTTCCTGATACATATAAAAAGAGTAGTCAATATTTATTCTGCATTCATGAATTTAAAAACGAATGCATACCTCCGGGATTCTTGACGAAATACCAGTATATTTGCACTGTAAACGACGTTTCGTCAAACGCTAATGGTCTGCGACGCAAAAAAGGAAGGGGTGGGGGTAATAGGGGTATTCAAAAATTGCCTAAAAATCTACATTTAAATACGCTTTACATATGAAAACTTTTAAATTTGTAAGTTAATATATTTTTGAAGCAAAAGCAATATGCTAATTTAATTTTTTTAATGTGTATTTGTAGATTCATATAACAAAGTGATCGACCCCCGTCTGAAAGACGCGCGGGAACGTGATTTATTGAGAGAGGGGGAGAGGGTAATTTTCCGCTATTAAATCAAAACTGGTCGTACAAAAATTATACAAAAAATTATGAAGATTATTTTTACTACCAGCTACCTAAAGAAAGTTTTTTACCAAAATTAAACGACAGGTTTTTTCACAAAAAAATTTTGAATTTGAAAAATACGCAATTTTCAAGGCTTAGAAAATTCATAGCTTTTCAGTTTAAGGTCTTTAAAAATTGTTTTGATGATATGTATATCAAAAAGATGATTATGTTTTTGTGTTAAATGGTTAAAAGAATAAGCCCATGAAATTTGACATTTATATCTAACCTTGTTTTATTGAAAATCAAGGTTTAAGTAGTTCATTGATTAAAAATTTTCTCTTCTTGTAAACAACTAAAGGGGGGTAACTTTCGGAAGTTCCTGTCCAAAAACCACTCGAACGATTTTGTCCAAAATACGCATACATGCAGTAGATATAGTCATGTACTAAATATACAAAAATAACGAAAATTAAACGACAGGAATTTTTTGGGGTAGGTGTGTTGTACATCCTTAAGTTCTATTTTTTTTTCAATTCTCCTCGTGCTATTTTGAAAGGTATGAAATAACAAAAATGGGGACATAAAATGCTATCATAAATTGCCCTAATATGCAACTGCAGTCCCATTAAACTTATTCCATTAATTTTATTACTCAGTCTTAGTCTTTTCCATTCTTGGCACTGTGCATGATTATCTAGTATCACAGAAGCTTCTGGCTGATCAGGATTATTGCAAGGGTGCGACAGATCCATCGTTAATTGATAATTGTGCGAATCCGATCAAAGTCTTGTCACAAGGTGCCTCGTTAGGACTACAGCCCGAATTCTAAGGAGAGAAACAAACAAAAACTTATATACATATGATAATTAAAAATACGGTCAAATCTTGTTACTCCAAACCCAAAGGGGCCAAGAAAAAGTCCCGAGATATCCAAGGATTTGAGATATCAAATGTAAAATACTGAAAGATTAAGTGTTTTAGACTCAAAATAAAACTCAGATATCAGAGTTCAAGTACCAAAATTCAATTATAATTTAACATATTTTTCACATATAAAACATAAGACTGATGAAAAAATATATCTTTTTAATCACTGTCATGGCTAAAGTTCTAAAACTACTGTAAACAGGGTTATTTTCGTGTGACCGTGTGTTATTTTCGCCCTTTTAATTTGCCCATTCACATTTCTGTTTCAGAAATTATACAGTGTTCTTTGTTTTTGCCCCATTTAACATGCACCCAAATGTGACGAAGCCGAAGGGGGCGAAAATAAAATGGGAACGAAAATTTCCCTGTATACAATACCAAAACTCAAAAATTTTTCCATCCTTTAGAGAATATTACTACTCTGAACATGGGAGAAAGAAGGGACATACACTGTAACATTGACAATTGTGTATTTATTACTTACTAAAGCAAAGGTTACATTTTTGAGGTCTGGGCAGTCTTGGAGTTTCTGTAGATTGGCAGCAACTACAAATAACGAAAGTCAGTTTTAATTTAATAGCATTTTACATTTTTTATAATTACAAATTTGCATAATTGACAGGTGGTTGATCAAGCTAATTTGAGGTTCATAAACCTTCTGCTCATTCATATCAAATGTTTCTTTAGCCCTTATGAATTTTAAAAAAGAAATAAATTTGCTAAGTTAATTAAATACAAATAATTAGAACATAACTTCAGGGGCAAAATTGGACAAAAAGACACTTCAACTTGACAAATTTAAAAAGGACTGATTGATTGTATATTGTTTAATGCCAAGTTAACAATTTTTCAGCCATGTTTCGGCAGAATTAAAAAAGGAATAATAGACATTTATGTCATTAAGAGTTATCTCTCTTATGAGAGTATCCATGGACCTTAGTTGTGAGCTCACCGACTATCATGTCTTTTCCGTTGACTAATCCCGCCTCTACCATTTCTCGTGAGACACTGTCTGCTGTGTCTAAGTCATAGAAAATGTGATTAACAAAATTAAGAATTTACCCCAAAATTTGATGAAAAGAACGAGATGTTGATATGACTTGAACTGAATGAATAATGTTTTTATTGCTTGCCCTTTCACAAATACAACAAATAAAATACATGTATTTTATATCATATTATGTACAAGCATGTACAGTATATAGATGTATGTGTAAATAACCACATCATTTCATATACACTAGTACATGCTTATAGTGAATGCAATTTCAATAAATTTTTTGCTTATAGCAACGTAATATTCAAATAATATAAGATCTTTTGTTGTTGCTTGCTGAATTTGAAGGAATTCTTAAATCATTCTTGTATCATTTAATTCTGACTCTTTTCTAATCAACTCTAACAGTAAAATCAAATTTTACCTCTTTCTTTTGTGTCTTTCTTACCTTGCCCAATGGTGAATTCAAATTTGATATCATTTAATTCTCTCTTTTCATTTCTGGAAAAATGAAAACTGTATCTTTTATTTTGAAACATATGAGGAGTTCATCTTATAAGTATGAAAATTACAGTTTCTTCTGATCTTCTTTATCCTTTATGAATAAACTTCTCACTCTGTTTTTTACCTCTTAAATTATTTAGCTAAAATTTTTTTTACAAAAATAAATTCATTATGACTTCTAAATACTGTAAAAGTGAAAATTTTGGCAACGAGGAAACGTTTATGAAATTGATGAATTTCTAATAATAGTCAAAGTTTCTACTTGTCAACTTCATATTCCTGTTAAAGAGCACTGATAAATACTGGTAGATGGTCAATGTTTCTACTCCCTATTTTTATAATATACATGTACTGAAATCGTCAAACTTTCAACCCTTCATTACAACCAGTTACATGTAACCACTTTTACAGTTTTAATATTTGTAAAAATATAGAAATAAACCTCACCTGAGTCTCAGGACTAGGTTAAGGGGTACCTGTGAAACCTCAGCCTGCAAAACCTAGGGGGGATAAAAAAGAACAAGATGAGGAAAAATAAACAGTGGTATCATTACCTGTAGCTACTCACAATCTGAGATTTCTCTAGCTATTTTGTCACATAAAGAATCAAAGAAAGGACTTTATTCAGTAGTGAATAGTATACACTTATCCACTGGTTGTGAGTGGGATAGCTCTTTTATCAAACCCTTGACAAGAACTATTCCCCTCGGGCAAGCACTCGGGGAATAGTTCTCTGTCGCGGGTTTGATAAAAGAGCTATCCCACTCACAACCAGTGAATAAGCGTTTTATTATACTGATGTATAATATAATTTCTGAAGTTTGAATTTTTTTGGAGTAAGATAATTCTGCCAGAATAATCTGAAACCTGATGACGTCACAATGCTACTGAAGTCATTACGACATCATCAGTTTAAAGATTTATCGCTGGGAATCAAAATTGGCGGCAACAATAGCATGAAAATTTTCCGAGGGTGGATAGCAAAAACTATACCCCGGGGTATAGTCTCCTATGCGTGGAGTATAAAGGATAGTTATTTTACCTTCTGAACTTTATATAGGAAACATTTTAACAGAAGTATAATAATGATCAATATTTGCTCTCAAAATCAAACTTTGATGGAGAAGTATAAAATTATGGTCTAAAACGAGAATATCCGCTGACTTCAAAGCACTGAATATTTTCATGAGCCATGATGCAATATGTTTAAACAATTTTTTGAAACTAAACAATGCTAAATGGAGAATTTTGACATTTTCTTCATAAAGTGGAAATGCACCATTTGCCGGTAGTTCAAATACAGATATAGCATTTCTGTAACTAAATGGGAATTCTGACATTCTTTCAAAGTGAAAATATATCAATTACCAGTAGTTAACCAGAAGTCTCTGTCGAGACTGTAGCTCTACTGGTTTGTATTTATCAAAAACCATTGCACTATTTTATGTATCTTTGTGTAGTCTACTTGTGTGCCAACTTATTTTGAAATCAAACTAAAACTGTAGAAGGAGTAGCGTTTTAAAGGAATTTCACAGAAAATTCTATTTTTAGTAACCATGGTAACACCATTCATCGAAATCAAAAACCGATGCACAATTCTATGTATCTTAGTGTAGTCTACTTGTGTGCCAAGTTATATTGAAATCAGACCAAAACTGTAGAAGGAGTAGCGTTTTAAAGGAATTTCACAGTAAATTCTATTTTTAGTAACCATGGTAACATCGTTCATCTAAATTAAAAACCGATGCACTAGTCTATGTATCTTAGTGTAGTCTACTTGTGTGCCAAGTAATATTGAAATCAGACTAAAATTGTATACAGGAAAAATGTCCACATGTGTTAAACATATGTTTGGTTTCACATGTGTTCAACACATGTTTTATACATGTAATACATGTGTGTAACTAAACACATGTAAAATATGTGTTTCATTTATATGTAAAACATATATAATATACACATGTTATACACCTGTGAGATAATATATATGTTAAACACATGTTTTTCACCACACATGTATAACACGTATTATATATATGTAATATATGTGTGCGAAAATACAGATGAATTATACATGTTTAATTTATATAAAATAAATGTGTTTTCATAAACACATGTTATACACATGTTAAGTTTTATCTCATATGTGTCTGTACATTCGGGTTAATTCAAAAGAATTTGTAAATGTTAGTAAAATTTTACTCATGTAAAGTTTTACTTTGTTAACCCCCCCCCCCTTTCCCTTCTAAAAAGAACTTTCACGATTTTTTTCTGTAATAATGCATTTATCAGACAAAAATGATAAAGAATGAATTCATTTTCTTTTCATTTTAAATCTTTTGGGCTTGGCTTACTTCTTGAGTAAAATTAAAATAATTCCGTATTTGTCTCCGGGCCGGTTTTGTCTTTTATCGGATGAAAATGTACGTCATTTTTGACGTCACTGCTGCAGCAGACGTGCTGGGTGTATTGGAAAGGTAAGTGATCTCCAAACAATTTTTAAAAGACTTTTAATTCATATTGTTTAAATATCATTTCATTATAGTTACAGGTGCGTTTGAACTTTCTATATGCATGTAACGTTAATACTCTTATCATTCTGACTTGTCATGCATTTCGTAAACCTAACGATAGTGATCTGTAAGTAATTTTGGTGAAAAATGTTTCTGATTGAATGTAAGCACGGGCACTGGAAGTTAATCTAAATATATAGTATGTGTATGTATAAAAAAAAGACCCTTCTTTTTTATACATACACATACTATATTATCTAAATATTTATCAGGTCTAGTACAATCTCTTGATTAAGCTATATAGCTTTAAATAGCTATATAGCTTTATTAAGCTATTCGATATAGCTTAATTTAGCTATTTTACTATACTTTTTTCTTAAAGGTGTAATTTTCTCAGTATATACAAAAAAGCGCACCTTGGTGCAGTGATGATATACAACTTTGAACTCTTCTTAAAATAATGCATGTAAAATTCACTCATCAAATTACGTCTCCTTGAGAGACTTTGTACTCAAAGTTCTTCAAGTTTTGGGGCTATATAAAGCAATTGATACAGTTACTTCTGCAATGATATTATAATGGAGACCAATTATGTTCAACAAGATAATTGATTGGTAACAGTTCAGCACAATGAGAAGCAATCATGCCTCAAGGCACCCAAGGTAGTGGACAGTTAGTCTAACAATAGAAATTCTCTTTTTGCTTAAAAGTATTCAAAAGCTGCAAAGTTAGAACTATCTTTGATTTTGGTTGTTGTTTAGAGAGCCCATAGTACATTTATGAAGAGTCAAATACATGCTACTTTTTGTTTATTTTCGGCAAAAAACATTTTTGTGAAAAACTGGTGTATAAAAATAGCTAAATAAAGCTATTTTGAATAGCTTAATAAAGCTATATAGCTATTTAAAGCTATATAGCTAAATCAGGAGATTGTACTGGACCTGTTTATATTAACTTCCAGTGCCCGTGAATGTAAGCGGTTACATGTTAGGCTAAAGGCATTACTATTTTGTATAATTTGTATACAGGTAAGTAATTTTGGATAAATTTGTTTCTGAATGAACGTAAACATTACATGTTAGGCAATTTTTTAAAGGCATTATTGTTGGTTTTCCTTTTGTGGTTACGAACTGATATGAAAGTGAAAGTAGAAACCTTGAAACCAAATGTGACTCTCAGTTGGTGTTTATGTATGTTGAGATGGCTGTCAAGTCGATTCTTTCAAGTGTTTGTTTTTATGGCCTATAGATGCATGCAGTAACTTGAGTTCAGTGTCACGTGTACATTGCTGCGTCTAAAAAGCCCAAAGCTGATAAGACTGGCGATTGATACTAAAGCTGATTTGACAGAAGATTGCATCATCACAATATTAAAGGTAAAAATAAATACTACTTGCAATAAAAAATCAAAGTAAACATCTGTAATGACTCCTTCATGACAAAATATTTCTTGATACATTGTAATTTCTTTTTGTTCCTTTATAACTCTACATTTGTTGTTTGCACGACTTCATAAATAATAAGTCCAACTCAATACTACAATAATTTTATTCTATATTATAAAACAGTTTTAATCCAGTGCACTTTTAAAATATGGAAAATATGAATAGAATTTGCTGGCTTTAAAAGCTATGAAACTGGTACATGTACTGTAAATGACTTCAGGGGGGAAGGGGGGGTATTGAATTTTTGAATTTCAGTTAAAAATTTAATAATAACAGTGACATCCAACTCTCAAGGTACAAGTACATGTGCATTTATGTGTTGATTGTTGAAAGTACATCAGCTAGCCAATCCATTGGATATTTACATCTATTTATATGTACCGGCCGGTATTCATTACCTGACATTTATTATTTTTTTTCCAACACCAGAGAACATAGTTTCTGGTAAAATGTAAGATATTAATTAAGACTATTAAGAACCTACAAACATGTACTCTCTCTTTTTTGTAGTTGTAGTTTAATTAAGTTTTAGTTATGCTTAGAAGATATCTACTGCATGAATATTTGTTTTACAGGTTCAATATACAGTCAGCGTCTCATAAGAATAAATCCCAAGATCCAAGACTTGCTTAAAAGCTTAATTAAGGTAACTACACACTGTTAAATAAACTTTGTTATATTCTTCCCAACAACGTTTGGGATATCCTGGAATCACACTGTCTGTTTTTGTGCCTGTCTACTTCTCTGTAGTATTTTTTGTCCAAAAATAAAATATTTGTGTCAGAATCTTCTTAATTTTTGGCAATATGAATTAGTAATACTGTTTGAACATTCCAAATTTAATTGTCAAAATCAAAAAAAAAAAAATGCTTTTTATGACTTTATTATGAAGCATATCTTCCAACAGTGTAATTGTCTTGCAAATTACATCATAGGATTCCACAAAACACCTAGTATAACATATATAACATTAGTTTTATCTCTTATCATATCTCTGTTGGTGAATTGGGCATACCTTTGTTTGTTGAATGTTAATATTACTTGTAGAATTGATTTTGTAATTTAAGAATTGTTTTATTTTTACTTTTTAAATTTTTGTAGAGACCATTCTGTGCCACAAAGAAATTGTTCAGGAAAGGGAGAAATGGTGGATTTGCATTTTGGGTACAGTTCAAAGAGAGTTCAAAATGGTCAAGCTCATGGAAGATCAGAGGAAGGACAACTGAAGAAAACTGAAAGATACAGAAGGAAAAAGAACAAGAAAATATATGAAATAATTATGAAATTGGGAGGATGTACACAATCTTGTCTGCATTTGACCTGTAAATATTTAATTCCCATTCTTATTTGTATGCTGTAATATCAAATAACTTGATTTTTCATAAATTTACAATAGAGAATACATGACAAATGTTATATGTGATATTTCAATTTTGCTTTGGACACTTTCATGTCAAATCATATAAATTATAAAAAAAGTACATGGACTTATTATGTTATTCATTTGTACATGCATGCATGTTTAACTATTTAATCATTTTGTGGAAATCTTATAATTGTACTCAACTTAGAATATGTAAAATATATGTATCGACAAATGCTACTGACTTGTTTGTATACTTTCCAGAACACTGAAAAATAAGTTATTTCTCTTGATGAAAATAATTTATCAAAAAAGTTGTGTAAGCATTTTAAGATATTAATTTTCAAATATTTAACTCATGAAGATAGATCATTGGAATGTACTGGATTTTCATCTAAAGCAGAAATATCTGATTTTTAAATGTGTACAAGAATGCGTTTTTCCAAGTGATAAATATTGAAAGAGAACACGTGTAACTATTTCATATTGACTTACATATGCTGCCCTTTTCATATGATTCACATATGTGGACAGACATTAAAAAAGTATAAAACTGATAATAAGTACAACAGTAATATTATACATGTATATTTCACATATAAAGTATAACATATATAAAACACATGTTTAACACATGTTTCATATGTATAAATATACAATGTGTTTATTTTTACACATGTTAAACACATGTGAAACATATGTTTAACATGTGTAAAAATAAACACCCTATACATGTGTGCTCCTTTTATGTGTTTTACATGTGTAAAATATATATGTTAAACACATGTTTAACATATGTTCAACACATGTGGACATTTTTCCTGTGTAGGAGGAGTAGCGTTTTGAAAAATTGTTTACAGACAGACGGACGGACGCCGGACGCATTACTATCGCATAAGCTCTTCTGGTCTCTGACCAGTAGAGCTAAAAAAATATATGTATATTAATATAACTGGTTCCTGTAACTGGTCCCCCTTACCTGAGTTGCTGATGCTGACGGAGTCGAATCTGCCGATTTGTTGACCAGCGAAGCTTCGGTTGGCGTATTATCTGTTGCCGGGGTGACGGTATCGTCAGTCTTTTCTATGACAGTGACTGTACTACTTGTACTGGTGGCTGCTTGCTCGGTTTCTGAGGTATCTGCGTTCTACAATATTATTGCATTTTTTCCATATTGGTTATTTTGATACAGGGCTTTTATAAAAGTTTAGAGATGTGGGTACTTAAGTAAATATTTGCTGCTCAAAATTATTCTCTAAGGATAAGCTAATTGCACAGAATTTAAATTTTCCAAGGTAATGCTCAAAAGATATAAGGTATGCTTGGTCACTAATGATTCATTAAACACTTTTACGTTTTTTGGTTCAAAACTGTATTTACTTAACATAAAGCAGTCATCTTCTCCTGACATTTATGTAAACTCTATTTCCTTGTCATTTTTTCAGAAATGTTTTATAATATACCAAAGAAATACTTGTACTAGAAATAAATAATTTCTATGTCCCAAATATTCAGGAATCCCTACCTCTACTGGTTCCCTTGCCTCCTGAAAAATAAAGGTAAACATCATTGGTATATAGTGAAAACACTAGTACATTCTACATAAACAATTTATAAATGTATAATCATTAGCATATACAATAAAACTTGGTTATAACAAAGTCTTTGGGACCTGTCAAATTACTTCACTATATTGTAATTCGTTATATCCATGTAGAGAATTCGTTAAATTTATATAGCTGGGGATCCAAGATATCTTTGCTATATCCGTAAATTTGCAATATCCGTGTTCGTACTAAATAAGTTTTACTGTAGTACATACACAATGCATTTGTTAGATTCTATCTTTATATTTATGCTTTTAATCAGTTGTCCCTGTGTATTCAATATCCAAATATATTCACAATGTATACTATTATAGAAAATTCATTATCATACAGCATAAGCATACTATGCAAAATTCATGCTTGCATTAGCCGTCTTTTCTACAAAAACAATGAGTTAGAAGCAATGACCGTATCAAACTGACTATACTGGAAACATCAGCAAAAGTGCTAACAATTAAACTCTTTGAAAATAGGTCGTTTACTTGTGTGGGGGTGGGTGGGGTATAATAAGCCGGTTACTTGTGTGGGGTGCATGGGGTATAATAAGACGGTTACTTGTGTGGGGGTGCATGGGGTATAATAAGATGGTTACTTGTGTGGGGGTGCGTGGTGTATAATAAGACGGTTGCTTGTTTGGTTGTGCCTACTTGTGTGGGGGTGCATGGGGTATAAGATGGTTACTTGTATATGGGTTCGTGGGGTATAATAAGATGGTTACTTGTGTTGGAGTGCGTGGGGTATAATTAGATGGTTACTTGTGTTGGAGTGCGTGGGGTATAATAAGACGGTTGCTTGTGTGGGGTGCGTGGGGTATAATAAGCTGTTTACTTGTGTGGTTGTGCATACTAGTGTGGGGGTGCGTGGGGTATAATAAGATGGTTACTTGTATGGGGATGCGTGGGGTATAATAAGATGGTTACTTGTGTGGGGTTGCGTGGGCTATAATTAGATGGTTACTTGTGTGGGGGTGTGTGGGGTATAATAAGATGGTTACTTGTGTGGGGGTGCGTGGGGTATAATAAGATGGTTACTTGTGTGGGGGTGCGTGGGGTATATTAAGATGGTTACTTGTATGGGGATGCGTGGGGTATAATAAGATGGTTACTTGTGTGGGGTTGCGTGGGCTATAATTAGATGGTTACTTGTGTGGGGGTGTGTGGGGTATAATAAGATGGTTACTTGTGTGGGGGTGCGTGGGGTATAATAAGATGGTTACTTGTGTGGGGGTGCGTGGGGTATAATAAGATGGTTACTTGTGTGGTTGTGCCTACTTGTGTAGGGGTGCGTGGGGTATATTAAGATGGTTACTTGTGTGGGGGTGCCGACTAGGGTGTCCTGTGTCTGGTCCTCTGGGTCCATCTCGTCGTCGGACCACTCCCACTCCCCCTCCTCATTTTTGTGAAGTTTACCGCTGGACCCGGGGACCCGCTTCACCTTCTGGGGTTTGACCGCCACACCATCCGACAACAGAGACTTAACCAGGTACTGCTTGTCCTGTTAAAACCAACAAAGATCAAAATACAGCATAAAGGGACGTTTTAACAGCCATCTTACTGTATGTGTACTTAAAATAGTCCACTTCATGTTTTAGTGGCTTTGGCTTACACAATGATGTGGTAATTCATAAATTCTACTTCCAGATCATTCATTAATAGTATATACAGGATGAACAGGTATAGTGATAATTCAAGATTATGCCATCAACTCAATGTCCATAATAATTGTTGCTAAAAAATATTAATCACAAATATTGTAAAAAGAAATATTTTTGATAACCAAATTTTAGTGACATCTTGCTTCACAGAATACTTCAGTGTTGTCCCTACCTTGGCTTTCTTAAAGAATTCATGTTTCAGAAGCTGCTTTGCAGTTGGCCTAAAAAATCACAATATTTAATCAGAATCTTTAAAAATAACTTAAAATTCATCCAAGCAAAAAACTTTTTGGATGTCAAATTTTAACTGTCCCCTATAAACATAAGCAAAGAAAATCATTTCCTGAAAAAAAGAGATAGCTATTTATCTCATGTGTATTGATAACTATGAGACAGTCATGTACATTTATAATCCGCTATGAAATCCATCCCTCATTCCCTCTTGTCAGGATACTGTAAACCAACTTTTATTCGCGTGCGAGAAATTTTTGCGAAGTTCGCGACAGCCTCGTAATTGCGAATATTTCTCGCCGTGAACTGGTCAATTAAGTCTCTGTGTCTATATTAACTACTGTAACAGATAAAAATAATCGCGAAAATTAATCCTCGCGAAGTAGTTAACACCTGGTAAATTGTGAAATAAAGTCGTCGCGAATAAAAGTTGGTTTACAGTATATCAATCAAAGAATCATGTCATACTGAACAAAAATTTTTTGCATATAAACACTTGATAAAATATTTTAAAAAATACAAGCCCTGCACCTCTTTTCTGGTTCCTTTCGCAGACACTCGGCTATCATTTTACGGAATATTTTGGAGTAGCCCTTGTACTGTTCTTTGTCTTCTGCGCTGGTGTCCAGATTCGGGGGTTCATTTTGTAGGGTCAACATCAGGACTTTCATTGGTGGATATTTATGGTACGGAGCAGTACCAGTGGCCAGTTCAATGGCTGTTATTCCCAAACTCCAGATGTCGGCCTTAAAGTCATATCCTGTCACCTTATCTCAAGAAAATGGAATTAATAATTACAAAATTCTATCTAAAATACATTGTTTTTGACCTTATGAAAAAATAAAAAAAATAAATGGACTGCTTTTCATTGACAAAGATGAATTGATTTGTTTTTATTATCATACTTGAATTATTCTTCACTTCTTATTTAAGGTTGATAATATCAACTTGTTTATTTCTGATTTAAGTAATATTTAGATATTCTCAAAATTATATTCAATATTTTAAATATTCATTCTGACCTGTTCCATTATCTCAACTTTTGAATATTCATACTGACCTGTTCCATGACCTCTGGTGCCATCCAACATGGGGTTCCCACAAAGGTGTGTCGGACACTGTCCCTGGTGATGTCTTTACCAGTGGCCAGCCATGCACTAACACCAAAATCTATCCAGGTAAAAAAAATGTTGATTAATTTGAGAATTAAAGAACTGAACAAGATTTGTTTGTGAAACAATGATGCCCCCATATGGCAGTTTTTTGCAAGGATTTAGATTCCTCAAATGCAGGTTTAAATCCAAGGTCAAGGCCAAAAGTTCAAAGCTGTTGGTATCCAAAGGAAAGTCTTTTCACAACGAAAACATCTGTGAAATACGAAAGCACTAGTACTAACGGTTGAAACGTTATGGTCAGGGTTCATTTTTTTTAAAGTGGGCCAACTCTAAGGTCAAGGTCAAAAGGTCAACATTGTTGATATCCAAAAGAAGGTCTTGTCACAAGATATAGGTACTATCTTTAATGTGGTCAATATTCAATAGTCAAAACTACCACCAAAGCGCTAATGGTCAAAAGGTAGCCAAAAGAGATACATCAATCTACATAATATTAAACTCATAATTTCAATCCATGCCATTCAACACAATAAATTTTGGATTAAACAAAAAATGATATTGAACTACATTATAATTGCACCATTAGGCATTATATAAAGTGAAGGATCATTCATATCATTTGACTTCTCCTTGTTTGGAATGGAATAGTTTCCATGCATATCACACAAAGAAAGATAACTTTAAATATAAAATACTTTTCATTCATACGTGTAATTTCCCTTGCAAACTATATTACTAAAGTTAATTCCCAGGTGCAGCTCCTATCAATACCCCTTGTTGTAGACTTCCTGTAATATGTACCTGCTATATACACAGCCCCATCGTCTCCCAGGAGAACATTCCCTGCCTTGATGTCTCTGTGTATCTGTCCGTTGTTGTGGAAGTATTCCAGACCTTTTAACACCTCTTTTAGGACCGTAGCAATAGACGCCTCGTCCATTACCCCATTCTTACAGATCCCCGCTTTCATTCTGCTTTTAATGATATCAAGCATTGAACCTGAAAATAAACATCATAAAAATTCACCTCATCAATCCACTTTTAAAGACAAATTTATAATCAATGCAAATACATTTCCAATGTTCTAAAATAACATGCAGATTATCTAGTTTGAATTTTTTTTTCAGAGGATAATGCATTACCTGATATCATTTTAACTTGTCTAATATGCTAAATCTCATCATGCTCATGCATATGCTAGCAGCTACAGACACCCATGTGGCTAGCAATGAGCTGTCGAGGATACCCATTGATGTTACCAGCAATTTCACCAGTACTGGCCCTGCCCCCATCTCAAAAAGAGGAGTGAGAGCCTTGAATTTCTCCTGTACTGTATGTATTGTCTTATTATTTACCATTCACTGGATCTTACCTCCTCCACAAAGCTTCATAACCACCCAGAGCTCCTCCTTAACCACGAATGATGTGTAATAGCCCACCACGTTCTCATGTTTACACTGACTCATAGCCTGGATCTCTTTCTGAAATCAAATTGTAACTACATCATATCTGCAGTCTGTGCAAAAGTTTTTTGGGTCACAAAGAAAAGTCGGTCCTGTGTACTCAAGGAACAGTCAGGACTGAATCAAATTTTGTCAGACCAAAAAAGACAATTTAAGAAAGTGAATTATGTGACAATCCAGAACTAGGGAAATCTATGTGGTTTATTCCCATTTTTTTATGTAGGTACTTAAATTTGTGAAGCATTATTTTGTAAAATAAACATTTCTTTTAAACTCTTTTGAAATTTAAATGAAGCATTAGACCTGAGACACTATTGGTGATGTCTAATATTGGAAAGTCTGTTGATGAAATAAAATTGAGCCATTTGTAATTCAATCTAATCTGATAATATTATGCCAGGTTTAAGCTGCAATAAAGCTCTGTGACTAAACATGCTAAATGGCACAATGAACAAAATTATTTTATATATACAGAACACAATTTACCATAACCAGCAAATAACAGAATTTGTTTTTAACTTTCAAGAAAAAAATTAAAGGTTTCATCATATCATCATAAAAAATACTAATCACTGGTTTCCTTGTACACAAATTAAGAACAACTCACCAAGAGCTCCTCTACTGTAGTGTTGCATTTTTCCAGATTTATTCTTTTAATGGCAACTTTCTCATTTCTCGGTTTACATACCGCTGCCTGTACAACAGCTGTAGCTCCCGCACCTACAAATAAAAATTACAAAGCATTAATGACAATGAATTTATTCTTGAAATTGTGTCAACATTTAAGGTATCATTTTACTATACTTAAGAGTAAATTCAATGAGTAAACCCAGAGGTTTTTTGCTACTTGGTTTAGAAGGAGTGTCAGTAATATTACAATATTTTTCTGGATTCAAGATTCAGTTTTCCTAAACTAAATAGAAGTGCATATGATATATCAGTGAGAGGTGATGTCTTAATGTTTTAAGAAAGTGGGTAAGTGTCACTGTGTTTGTTTATCTGGTCTACCAGGTAATTGACTGGGACATCTCTGACTGCTGATATTAAAGGGGAATGAACTATGAATGACCTAGTTCTTAACAGTTATAATAAATAGCTCCATTAAAGACCAACACTTTTATTATAACAATTAGTATCTCTCACAACACTTATTTCAATACAGACAATAAATTGTGCCATTAGTTTCACTTGAGGCACTTTTAATTTACGTGTTCATTTCTAAGAAGTCTACTTTTATTATTTTTCGAAAGAAAACATGTAAATTATTGTGTTAAAATCCAATAAGCAGACAGTCTAAATGCTTCTAAATCACAACAATAAAATATCTCAATTAAATAACTTCTTCAGCAATCAACAATTTAAAGTCAGTTATTGTGGGGGAATATATCCAAACTTCATCGATTATATCATTGCAAGAAATCAGTTGCAATCAATTACAGGACAAAAATGACTGTAATTGATTATTTAGTGATTACACAAAGTTCCCTATAATAATCGATTACATTTTACAGTATTTACTGTGCCCATGCCTGTTACAAGTTTAGACAATATGAAAGTGTAAGACATATTATGTCGTAACAGAGTTTAACCCACATGGTTACAAAACTTAAATTATACAAACTTACACTGATATATTTCTAAAATATTTATGAAAAAGCAAATGATACAGCACTGATAAAGCTTCCTTGTTTTTTCCATCTCTAAATGAGTCTTATCCAATTTCTTCATAACCTGTTCCCCATATGGTCAATTAATATGACTACTTCATGAATATTTAACACGATGTAAAGGAACTTTGGCATGCTGATTCTCCTTTTCAGGCATAAAACATGCTAAACATGCATTCACAACCATACTAGGGACCTAATTGACAATCATTTTTAATATTCAGAATTTTTTCTTTAAATACCTTCAAATGCATATTTTCCCTTCCATCAAATAAAAAACATTTAAAGATATATTTGAAAGAAATATTTTAGCACATTCTGACCTACTTACCTGCAAAACATCAATCACATTACACATGACCGATATACGCACGCTACTACAAACGTAATATTCCGACTTTCCTTCGCTCTCAGATTCAAGCAGTATCAAAAAACGTGGGAAACAGTCAAGCCTTCAAAAAATGAGTTAGAATTATTACCTATGACGTCTTTCAGCTCGTAAGCATCTCGGTTGTTTGGCCAGGAAGACTTTTCCGCCTCGGCCATCGTCTACACACACCAGACTGTGAACCAGCCTCAGCCAGAAAAACGACCTTGACCGAAACAAATTTTTAAAGGATAACGATCCCGATTATATTTCAAGAACATTTGATCTATTTTGAACCACATCATCAATATTTTCTAGTATTTGATATGCAGAGTTATAATATTAAAATAAAAGAAATTCTAATCAATGTAAATGAAAAAAATCTTATTTGAGTGAGTTTCTTATATTCTTAAAAAAAAAATAAATAAATAAATTTGATCGGGTTCGCTTAAATTTATTTTTGCACTAAAAAATATCGAACCCGGATACTAAGACTGATCAAGAAGTCAAACTTCAAGATGTCTACAACCGATTCTGATTTATCAGAACTCCCCCCATACACAGCCCTGTTATGGGGACAGTTCCTGGCAAACCCCCACCTGATGTATAATTTGTTTTCAAGGGGACCAAATGGAACATCCTTTGCCTCAGACCATGTAATAAATATGACTGGGGTCTGGACTAATTCAAAGATGAGGTAAAAATTATTTTATTTATTTGAATAAAAAGCTTATATAAAATTAAATTTAGTTAAATATGTTTTATAATTATAGGTTAGACTTCAGGTTTGAATATTCATCATGTTCATTAAAATATGCACTTCATGCTTGGTTGAATATGAAATAAATTACCAACTGGTTTTTCCAATTGCTGCATTATAAGCATGATAAGTACATGCCATATCATATATGAATTTTACCTATATATGCACTTTGTACACCATTGTACACTTTCCATCTATTTTGGGCGAACTTGATTTGTAATTATACTTACACCTTTTACACTATGTACACCTTTCTTAATCAAGTGTAGGGGTGTAGACTTTTGGTGTACACTGGGTTTACACTTTCTTACACCAATTTAGGGCATGTGTTGAGAGATGTACACTGAGTCAAATATTGCGTAGAACAATTGAAAATTATTAAAAGAACTGTAATTTAAATGTAATCTTAAAGATATTAAATCACATTCAATTTAATTGTCTTTTGTGTGTAAGTGCATGATGACATTGAAATTATTTCTAAACTACCGTATAATCCCTATTAACCGCCCCTACCCCATAAGTGCCCCCTTAGGTCTTTTCCATTTGTCAGGAAATAAGGGCCCCCTGTACACGCTGTACAGTGATTAAAATCAACTAGAATCGTATCAAAAAATTGAAGAAAGTGAAATTGAAACTTGTTTATTATCCAATTTCTCAATGGAAAATGAATAATTTAGCATAATTTGGGTGGATTATCTTCATTTTAACTAAAGTTAGACATTATTTTAGTGGTTCCTTTTATTTATTTATTTATTTTTTTTCAAAAGATTTTTTGAAGTTAAATATGACATTAAATATTATAAAAAGGATACCAAAATAAACGCCCCTTTTTTGCAATTTTCTAAGCACCCGGGGCGGTTAATAGGGATTATACGGTATAGTTTTTAACGATAGTAATTAACATGACTAAGTATATTTATAAATTAAATTGTATTTTTTTTTAAGTGAGTTTAAGGTGGACAGTTTAGAGGAACTACAAAGAGTGAGAAATGATCTTCTGACTATGCCCATTTTATTCCACATCAAAGTGGAACATCAGAAAACGGAAAATTATGCTGTCATCAAAATCCGAAAGAAGTGGAAAGGTATCAATACACCATCCTTGTCTTAATTGTTGAAAGAAATTCACTTATTTTCTCCGTATAGAGGTATTACATGTGTATACACAAAAGGTACTACCTTTTTAGTGTGTTATTATATCGTATATTGGTTATAATCACAGTTTAATGTGTTCAATATTTTACTAAGAGTACTATTATGACCATGCGGAGGATATGTGTAATTTTTTTTAATCATGCAAGGTTTTTTTGGCAAAATGAAGGTCACAAAATTTTCAAAATTTGAATGGAAACTATATGAAATAAAAAAAACTATGAAGGGGATATTATTTTATGACCTCATTCTTAGTATAGTTAGTATAAATTGTGTCAAAATTTCAAAGACTTTGCTTGCCAGTGTCATAAATGCATGTTTTAAAGATAATTCTTACATTTACTTATCTTAGATGAGTTTGCAGTTCTTGTTAACACACGACATCCCACCATCAGAGAAATTCTGTCCCACAAACTTAACGAGGCCACACAACACATGCAGGAGGGAAAGAACTTCTGTCTAAAGGTAAACTAAAACCCAGGGTTCAATTATTTAAGAGGGTTGGGTGGTTGTGACAATTTTTAGACTATGGTAAATTGATCTCCTTTAAAAGAAGGGCTCCATATAAAGATATACAAAAGTGATTAAATTTTAAAACTTAAATTTTTCTTTCCGAAATGATGGTTTACAGCTAAAGATATCATATCTAAAAAATTAAGTTATATTTGATGGTTTATTTGTTGACCCCCCAGCCATCTTAACAGGTTTGATTTCCCATACATTGTTGAGCAAAAGACTTTAGTACAGTTTATTCACCAAAACATCACTTTGAGAACCATGTTTGGTTTCCCTCTCCTGACTGACTGACTACAGTGGGATAGTGGATACATTCTATTTTCTGTTTTTTTTAAGCTTGATTTTGGCCCCTCCGTGAAGCAGTGGTACAGTGGGGTAGTGGATAATGAAGTGTCCTTTTGTGACTCCCGCAGCAACAGTGACTCAGGACATATGGAAATCTTTGTCCACAACTACACCACCCCCATTGAGTGCTGTGTCAATCCTGTCTGCATCTTCTGTTGTTTTCCTTTCTGGCTGTTGTTTGGTGGACCTTGCTACTGTGTAAGTTTACTATAGAAGTTACTGTTAACCAACTTTTATTTGTGTATGAGAAATATCCATGAGTCTTGAGAGCTACATTAACTCGCAAATATTAATTGCTGTGAACCACTTAATATTTTGCTTTAAGTAGAGAAAGTTCCCCAGTCATGAAAATTAATTGTCGTAGATTGATTTCAAATTGATGAATCATGAATAAAAGATGATGCAAATAATTGTTGGTTGTACTCACCACTTGCGGTACATAAAAATTCATTTTAAATTTAGCTTAACTGAGATAGATATAAAGCCCAAGTTAGCTTTTCTAATCACCCATAGTCTGGCATCCAGCCATCTGGTCATCTATCAGTATACAAACTTATTTTTATATTTTCAACTTCTCAAGAACCCCATGGCCAATTTTGACCAAAGTTGGCACAAAGCATCCCTATGTGAAGGGATTCTAAATTCCTTAAATATGATTAGAATATTAAGTTGATTGTAAGCATCATTAATTAATTATTCACTATAGTGTTATTTAAATGTTAAGCATTTTCTGAGCAAAAGGCCTCTTTTTTATTTTTACAGATTCACAGAAACATCAAATGTACTGATGAGAGTCATAGTTTTAGTGACCTTCCCGTGGTTCTACTTACCGGGGTCAGCGTTAGAGTAAGAGTCGAGCCTGCCCAACAATTCTATAGCTACCCTTCCGGACCGGGTCACTACCCCCAAGGCCCGCCAGCCATGCCACAGGGACCACCTGCCTACACACCACCCCAGGGGTATCCAGCACCACACCAACAGGCACCACCAACAGGAGACCAGCAGAATTACCCCCCAGGAGCCCCACAGAATCACCCCGTGGGGGCCCCACCACCTTATCCAGGCCACAACTAAGGAATTAATTCTGTTGAAGTGAAATATTTAAATAAGTGGTTGTATGTCACACAAAGAGAAGGGTATTGACTCTGTTGTGGTGATTTTTTTGTAATGACAGTTCAAAAACTCAGTTGTTCTTAATGAAAGATCTGCATTTCTTTCAAGTGATAAAAACAAAGTCTTCAAATGTGTACATTTCTTAGGAAAAATGTTTAACTTTATTTCATATTATATTTTTCTCCATTTTAAGAGGTGTTTTTTCTTTAAAAAACAACAACATAGAGCTCGTTCATTGTTCTAACCAGCATACAAGCTGTTTATGTTTGCTTTAAATCATAATAAAACATGGATTATTAGCCAGAACCGGTGTGATTTTCAAGTATATTTTTGATAAAAATCATCACAATTTCAACTGCGTTTGACTTTTATGTCAAAATAAAAATGAGGGGCCAAACCTGGTCTTTACTACACCTTGTTCTTTGCATTGATGTAAATAGTGCTATTGTTTATATTTCTGTATTTGAATTTTACTTTTTGTGTGTATTCCATAATTCTTATAGATTGTGTACAGAAACCAATACTAACTAGTACAGAAATTATTTTCAGAAAACTTTTAATCTGTTTATCTGCACGCACATTCAAGGACATGAATTTTTTCTCCACATTTATTTAGTAGAAAGAAACTCAGAAATGTAGTATATGACACATTCAATGTTATTTACAGATTCAGTGATGTAGTAATCAAGGTACATGTAATAGAATTTATTTAGTTGAAATATCAATTAAGCTATAAACCCAGGAGTGGTATCATAAGCAGAGCTATCCCCTGCCCCATTTTTTTCTTGACACAGCGTAATTATCATTGAAAGATACCACATATTTGTAATATAGATATATGTAAGTATAGTATAGTAATTTTAGTATACTGAAATTTGACAATTTAAATGTATTATTTAGAATTATTTTGGAGGGGAGGGTGTTGGAAGATGTATCTCATTTGTCGAGTTGGTACATGTAGGTTGTCAGTTTTTTTTCCCTGGTCTCCACACTTTAAAAATGATACTATTTATATATTCAATCTACTATTGAATGATCCTATTAAATTTTCACCTAAATTCTCCCAAAGTAGTGATTTTTTTTTAATTCTGCTTTACTACTTTGAATATCAATGTGCCATATTTTTAACAGCATTTTTGTCACATTTACAAAATAATTTTATGAATGCTTTCAATCATACAATTTATTGATTTGTTGTAAATTTAATTAAGGCCATTGTTATATAAATGTATAATTATAAGTTATAACTTACTTATATAGTGTAATTATATGACACCTTAAATTTTTATATTTTTTTTTTTAACCATGCGTTCTTTTAAAAAGGGAAATTGTATGTATTACAGTGGACCCTCATTTATCCGGACGCTTTGGTTCCCAGTCAATTTGTCTGGATATGTGAAGCATCCGGATATCTGAATCACCAGTTAAACAAGACAGATTAACAATTAAAAATTTCGTTCCGATGAAAAATCGTCCGGATACTGAAGCATCCGGATATCTGGCGTCCGGATATCTGAAGGTCCACTGTATATGTAAATTTATTATTCTTTAGCAGTTTTCTACAAAACTTGTTTCAAAATAGGACATAATTTTTTTCAAAAGCAAATGAAAAAAGGGTTAAATCTGATATGGGACTATATTCATGATGTCATATGTCCTGTGTCAATTCATTGTTTTGTGACCTGTAACAAATTTATTTATTTAATATTTTAATTTTTTTTTTTTTTTTTTGGGGGGGGGGGGGGGGGAGGGGGAGGCTGCTTCTCTCATTGACAAGCTCCAATCAAATTGAAATATGTAGATAACATAAAAATAAAGAATCAGTTGAAGTTTAACATTTGATGTGTATGATGCACTGATTATAACCAAAATGCTTTATGTTATAGAGAGAGATATGACTAATAGCAATCAAGATAGCAATCAAGATTTGTAATTTTCAAGGAAGGCAGTCAACCCGTGAGATAATGAAATGAAATTTGCCAGGGGTCCCATGGTAGTGAGTTGACACAGGACTCCCGATATTGTTGAATGATCCGTAAGCACATAAAAACACACCTAAAATTGAAAAAAAAAACCTATAATATTTAGCAACATTTAATAAGATGATTTATTATTTACATGCAAGACAGTAGCTCTTAATTAAGGTGCCTTACATATTGTAACACAAACTTGTACTTTATAAGAGAAATCACTTTGCAGGGAAGCGCTATAATTAAACTGTAGCTTGGTTGTTCCATGATCTGATATATTTATGTACATTCAAAATAACGGTTGTATATGCATGTAACTGCATAAATGCTCTGGTAAGAAAATAAAATATTTAAACTGTTTGTCTATAAGTTTCTAATATTTGAGGTCAAACCATCAAATTCATGCAATATTCTAAAAAAAAAAAGACCTATGTTTCCTGGACATCAAGCATTCAAACTGTAAGCATAATTATAATGAGCATTGTTTTGAACATATTTTATTGACAATATGTCAAAGGGATCGGACACAAGTTCTAGCAACTTAGATAGTCCTCTCCCATACATAATATCTCAATAGCCATACAACATTTACAAAATTTTACAATAATATATACATTTACATAGAAGAACAAAGACAATTGTTTTATGAATAAGGAAATAATATCAATTATTAATAATGGTGATAACAAATACAGTGTTGATATTATAAAAATATAATAATTTCAATAGAGATAATACAATTCATTGTTAATTAAAACGACCTGATTCCTGAATAAATATTTGAACAATACCGAATATTTTTTCATTTTCCTGCGAAGATAAGGAATCATCTCCCCATAGTAATTTATGCACATTAATCATTTTTACATTATTAGTTACTAGTAGTGCATTCATCATTAAGCGTCTAGGTTCAAAATATTTTCTACAAACAAAGAAAAAATGATGACTATCCTCCTTCATACCACAAGAACAATTTGGATTACTTATGATATTACATCTATACAAATCATTATTTAAAATACAATTGTGTCTTAATTTTGTATGTAAAATGTTCAGATACCTTCTACCATATGAAAAATACTTGGGAGGCTTATCTTTATTATTACTCAATTTTCTTTTAAAACTTCCTATTGAGGTTATTTCCCTTGTTTCATTGCTCAGTGAATTCCATTTGCGTACAGTATCGGGGACAAATGATTTGTTGTATAATTCAAGCCTGCATTTAGTTAAAGAATAATCAAATGAATTTCGAGTATTGTAATTTGAAACAGTGTTTCTAACCATCGGTACAATGTTTTTTAGGTAATCAGGAGCTAGGTTATTGTGGATTTTAAACATTGTTAAAAGTTTGGCTTTGTCTCTTCTTATTATAAGAGGTTCCCAACCTGTTTCAATATACAACGAATTTCTTGATGCTAATACTGAAAGACCAGTCACTATTCTTGCGGCTGTCAGTTGAAGCTTTTCAAGTTTATCAATATCTGCCAGCGAACAGCCTGACCAAACTTCAGATGCATACTCAAGTTGTGGTCGAATAAAGGAAGTGTAAAGTTTGGATAACGTATCTCTAGACACTGAAAATTTAAGTTTTTTGAGAAGTCCTAGTTTTTTGTAGCCTTTACTGACAATACTATCAATGTAATCTGACCAACCTAATTTAGTTGAGAATTGAGCAATGAGCATTGAGCCCTCTACCCAGATTAGATTGTAAAACTCAGGAGTCCTTGGTCCGGGGCTCTGGTGCTTGGGTAGGGCTCTGTTGTCCACACAGGAAATCCATTGCGTAATTTTTGGAAAACCTCCTGTGCTCCTGGGTATTTAGCAGAAGACTAAGTGCATGCGAGAATGAGCAAGGGTTCTACTACTAAATACTTTGAAAATGCATTGGTACTTAAAAAATTCTTCTTCTGTCCCCTTGTACCGGGTATATCAAAGACATGTATATTAAGCAGACAAACTAAATGTAAGGCTAAAAAAAAAAACGAGCAAGAGTGTCTTTACTTAAATTGTGAAAATTTTGTATATTCTTTAAAAAATCCTTTTCTCTGCTCTTGAGTACTTAGTAATTTGGTAGACAACTGTATCATTGGTTATGTTGAGCAAGCCTAGGGTGCCTTTACGTAAATTTTGAAATTTTTAACCCCTGTGACAAGTGCTCGATCTGGTTCTAGGATTGGGCTCTGTTGACCTCGAAGCCAAAACTTCCTCTGCTCGTCGGCATCTAGTAGGCTTATCAAGCTCATAAGCTATAATTTAAAAAAAGTGTTTTTAGTTTAACAGATCTGAGAAATTCATAGTGCTCCTTTGAAGAAGAAGGGAAATGTTTTCTCCCTTTTATATATTTACTAGGCCCGTAGAAGCAATTCATTTAGGGGGGAGGGCATCCATTATATTATATTTTCAGTTGGGGGCACTATAAATTATCAAAAATTCCTTGACAAGCAAAAAAAAGTCATAAGATGTTTTTACATGTATTGATTGGACACGAGCATATATAGTAGCTATTTTTTCTATAGTGTACTATATTTATATCGACAAAATTAATTATTGGGGGGGGGGGGGTTGCATATGCATCGATCATCTGAATCAAATTTTGTAGAAATATAAAGCGCACCTACATTTTCGTTTTAATGTGTCTTAAAATAATACAAGGTTTTTTCTCCAATTGATAAAGTATGTTAACGTAATATGTAGGCCGATTTAATTTTTTTTCTCTGAACATTAACTCTTGTGGTAATTTAATCGGTAATATACCTTAAATTGGGAAATGAAATAAGTAAAGTAAAAATACAAGGTACAGGGTTATATTACATGTAGTCCAATTTGCGGCCAAATGATATTTGGTCAAGTCCATGCCAAAAGGACCCCCCTCCCAATAATTTTGCCGAACTTATTGCCATGGTAACTAGAAAACATAGCTATACGATTTGCTGTGCCCCCTCAATAGAAACGTCTTCAGTGTAATGGCTTCTTTTCTTGCCAACTTAGGAATTTTTTGTAAATCTAGTTGCCCCCCCCCTCCCCAATTGATAATATATATGGCTGGTTGTTTAGCAGAACTTAAAAGACTACCACTTTGGTCTAAAATTATTTCCTTCTCAAGTATTAAATATCGGGATCACCTGAAAACTTCTCTGTGATTTTTTGGCTTTTAAACTTTACCAATCTACAAGTAATATTAGTTACATAGTCTTTTAGTGACAGGGTATGGGATGATACCTGGTTAGTAAATTTCATACGAATTTACCCCACCGTTGAAACATTTACGTTTTGTCTGTAGTTTATAAATGGTTTTCTCTGATAAATGCTTCATCACGCTTACACTGTGTCTATTATGACGTCACGTTTGTGTTTGTGACGTAATACCGGGTATAGATTCTGACCGGGTATAGATTTACAACTGACCGGGTAAAAGTAATCCACCGCCTTCACGTGACAGACTTTAACCAATCGTAAGCCAGGATTTCACGGAAAAATCGACAGAGGTGGGGTAATTGTAATTTTTGGACTATTAAGAAATTATTTTCTAAAGGTTCCATTCAACATCCTTTACCAAACATAAAACAAAGAACATTGACCAGTACACCAAAGAGCAAACATCAAAAATCGTTGGTTCAGAAAAACTTGAATTATTTAAAATCATATTTAAAAAAAAAAAAAAAACCAAGGAGTTCACATGATGATTCACCCAGAAAAAGATCTGAGAGATCTCTTAGTTAGTAGAATTACGTATAACCATAGACCGTTTTAGGTCTATGGTATAACCTTGCAATAAAAAGCGGTAGATACATGTATAATTATATTTCCTCATCAAGAAACGAGAA